GATCGAACATGAGCTCGATAGTGGGAGGTATAGTTGGGTCGATTGAGATCGATCGTGAGACCGACAGTGAGATCGATGGAGACATCGATCGAATCAGATCGATCGTCAGATCGATAATGATGTCCCGTCGATGTCCCGGCGGTGTCCCGTAATCAGATCGACAGTGAGATCGATAGTGAGATCGATAGTGAGAACAAGAGTGAGCTCGATAGTGCGACCGATTGTGAGACCGACAGTGAGATCGATAGTGATATCAATCGTAATATCGATAGTGGGATCGATAATGGGATCGAGAAAGGAGATCGATTGACCGAGACGTTGGTGTCTCCCCCACCCGGCCAAAAGGTGGTCGCATGGGGAAGCACAAGCTTTCGGAGGTCCGCGTGGATGTCTCGGATCTGCGCTGGACCCAAGGCGGCGCCGTTAGCACCCTCGTCAAGAACCCGCATTCCGATCTCACCACACGTGCGTCCGCGTTGATCCAGCATGCTCGCCATCGCTCGGACGTCCATTTCCCGTGCATTGTTCGGTTTCGTGCGTGTTTTGTTTTGCTCGATGGTCCAGGATCGTCCTCTATGGTTCTCGCCGAGAAAAAATGCACACGTCCGAGCGATGCCAGGCATGAGCCTACTGCGCGAAACCGTAACACACAGAACCATGCGGGCCACACGCGTGCGCTGAAAACGCGCGCCGTGCCGAAATCATTCCACCATCTGGCCCGTTCGAAGCAGCTCGAGATGTAACATTTCAAAACCATGTTACAAACCATGCGTGTCTCAACACTCGGACTGCCAGGTGTCTCGCATTCCCGCGCGCGCGCTATTCCTCACCACGATCCCCATGAATGCCGTCGCATCACGCCACCGGCATCGACAACCGCCGCTATTGCCGCTAGCATCGCTGAATCATGGTCGCTACTATCATCAATGATGCCGTCGTTGTCGGCGTTGTAATGATACCGCGCCCGCCCGCGAAAACGACCCGCATTAAATCGCCCGCGCGCCAGAGCAGCCTTATGGACGCGCTAGGAAGCTGCCATCGGTAAGTGCCATCGCGGCCGTATCGGTTGTGCCAAACCAGCTGGTCGCTCTGCGCGCGAGCTTGCGTGCGCCAGCGTAGCCGCAGAGATGCGCCAACCAATGCCGCGGAGTCACCTCAATCACGGCCGCATGGGCTGTGCAAAATAATTTGCGGGTGGGTGGGTTGGATGATTGCAAGAGCGTGGAGTTAACAACTCACTCGTGGACAATAGCCAATTGCACCACAGGGCTTGCGCCACATAGTAGTCAATTGCATCACGTGGCTTGCACAACATGGCCCACACAACATATATTGCACAACTTAGCTTAAATCACATATCCCTCACCACAGACATTGCACCGCATAGCTTGAAGCACATAGCACAAAGAGCATGAATGTTATCACAGATATGATTCCATGGCCACACCACATATACTACATCACACATATTGCGCCACAAAGCGTACACAGCTATGGAGCCTCCGTCCAATGAGATTGTGCTCTCGCTGCAGCGCGGAAAGTACCAGTGGATCAGCATTGGCTGACGTCTCCCCACCCTGGTCCCTACGCAATGGCACACCATGGTACGCTCTGCCGTACTCTCCTACTCCATAGACAACTACCCCTGATAATACCACCCGGGGGATAATACAGTTCGGGGTCCAGGGGCGATCACAAACGATCTGCCGCGGCACGCTGACGACGACGACGAGGACTTGTTCCTCTTGCTCTGAGAGCCGTGGCCCGTGCTCTCGAGATCCTTGGCCCGTGCTCGGGGGAGCTCGAGCCAACGCGTTTGCGGAAAAGGAGGGCAGGAGCGGGGAGGGGGAGGGGCAGGAGGAGCAGAAGCAGCAGCAGGAGCAGGACACCGGGGGGAGCAGGAACAGGGGGGAGACGGAGCTGGGAGCAGAAGCAGGGAGCAGGAGCAGCGTGACTTGGGACGACTGAGCTGGTGAGATTCCCATGGCCCTGCCGCACGTTCCTGACTCGGGAAGGGCTGAGAAACCGCTCTGTCACTCCGAGTGCGATCTCTGTCTCGCCGATCTCGCTCAAAGCATGCCCCTCCTCTTCGGAGTGGGGGGTAATTCCCTTCGTTGTCCTTCTGGCCCTCTTGGCCCGTCTTGGTTTCCAGGAGGTTCTTGGCCGTGGGTCCTAGCCCGGCTCCTTCCGGGTCCTGGGTGCGCGCGCGCGTGCGCGCGTGCATGTGCGCGCGCGCGTGCGTGTCGACGCGGTGGTGGTGGTGGGGGGGGAGGCGACGAAGTCGGTGTTTTCTAGCGGACAGCCTCTGTGCTAGTTCTACTGTTCCACGTGCTCCACCTGGGCTTTGTCTGGGTTGTTCGCGCAGATCTTGATCGCGAGGTTTGGCCCGCTCCGTCGTAATCATTCTCGTCCCTTTCGCATACTTCTTGAAAATTGTTGTCCACGCGCTGCCGCCTCCATCCCTCGCAATTAGTTGCTGGCTGGGGGCGAGAATGCTTCTTCGCCGAGTTGATGATAATATTATCGATGTCCTGGAAGAGAGCATTTCCTTCGGGTTCATGCTGTTCCACGTGCTGCTCAAAATCGTTGGTGGACGCGTCTATTGTATCCTTGTCCGGCTGACCGCACCTGTCAGTCTCTGCCACATGGTGTTCATTTCTGTTGTTGCCGAGCTCGTCGCCGCAACGGGAATCCTAGCGCAGCCTGGACTGGTGCGTGGTCTCTGTGTTCTCGGCAGGGAATATGTTGTTGCCGTGTGTCCATTCATAGTAGTGGACCTCGAGAGATCCTGCTACTCGCCAGCTCCAGCGGTGCCATGACGTAGTCGATGCACGACGCTCCCTTTTCGCCGAAATACGTAGGTCCCCAAATGCCCATTGAATTTAATACCGCTGGTCCGTGCTTTTGCGCGAACAGTCTGGCCTTCCGTCGCGCTCCTCCTGGTAGTCTTTCTCGCGCGCGCCCGGGTCTCAGCCCTGGTGGTTCGGGTTGTTTTCTTTTCGCTGTTATGCCGATGCCGTCGTTGAAATCGCCTGCCACGATCAGTACGTTGTGTCAAGGCCTGTCCTTCGCGGCTTCTTCCATCCACTTGAACAGGTCGGTCCGGCTTTCGCGCGCTGCCCTTGTTAGGCTGCGGCGGGCAAACATGTGCTATCATCAGAATGAATCGGTCATGCCGTTGTACTGTGAGAGCGACTCCGCGTCCGTGTAGTTCCGAAGGCGGCTCTGTCACGTTGATGATTTGGGTTCCTCGAAGTCGCCCTTGTATTGCTGTCATGTCACGATTATGGTGTTTCGTTTTTTCAGCTCTCCTGTCCCTCGCCCTGCGTCTATGTGCCTCGCGCCGCGCCTCGCGGTTCCTGTCAAGAGAACTGCGTCAAACTCGTGTGCCTCGTTGTATATCTCCGCCAGTCTATCAAGTCTTGCGGATGTGGGGATGAAGAGACACAGCGCGAGAGAAACCGTCCATGCCGTTGCTGCCATGCGGGCCTCCCGCACGATCCGTTTGAACACAAGCTGTGGAATGACATCTTGGCGGCGCGTGCTGCCCTGACTGTTTCTTATGCCAAAATGGCATCTTGAGAAGGTGGGAAAAAGGAGGAGGAGGAGGAGGGAGAGAAGTAGGAGGAGGAGGAGGAGGAGGAGGAGGAGGAGGAGGAGGAGGAGGGGGGAGACGGAGAGGGAGGCGACGGTGGAGGACTGAGCAGGGATCGGTCGTCCTGGCATTCCTACACGTAGTCCTATCACGACATGCTCTCAGAGCCCAACAATGTTCGAATCACAAACCAGTTTTCTTAGAACATCACCCCGATGTGTGAAACCATACAATATCAATCAAACATGTTCTGAAAACATTTCGCGCAGACCCCATAAGGTTCTTAGAACATCCGTTGCTGGGGGACGGGGATCTTCTGATTTGGGTCAATCCAGACCCGGGTAAGTCAACCCTTGCATAATCCTGCAAGATCCTGCAAGATCCTGCGCCCAAGCCTGGGTCAATGCGAATGATCATGCAGGATCCTGCACCCAAGCCCAGGTCAATGCGCCCCTGGCCTCTGCAGGATGCTGCAAGATCGGGCGCTCTGGCGGACCCCAAGTTGCATTGACCCCCGTCTCAAGGCTCCCGAAGGGTACTCCAGATTTCGTAATAAAAGGGAGGGGGTCTGGACCCTCCAAGACAAGCCATTTCAGACCTCCCCCGTGGGAGAACCCTCCAAAACATCGTCCCCAGACCCCCCAGGCCCTCCAAGATAGCCTGGGAGAGACCCCCCCCCGAAATGAGACCCCCCTCCCTTTATTACGAAATCTGGAGCAGCTGGTCCTGGACCCCAGGGCTTCCCTCGAGGACAAACTTCTCTTCGCGAGCCTTCTGTCCTCCGACGGCCCCGGGGGCCCGAGCGCGACGCAGAGGCACAGGGCCCGCGCCCCTCCGGCCCCGCTTGCTCCATGTTGTGCCGGGCTCCAGATCGCAGCCCCGAGCACGGGCCACGAGCCCCAGACTCGGCCAGGGAACGGGAGACGCCGCGGGGCGGAAGTGCGGGCGGGCAGAGCTATACTGAAGGGGCCCTGGGACACACAAATAAATACGCACAAATAAAACGACTCCCCATATTTTCGCATATTTTCTGGGTTTTTGTCTTCCCCCCCACTTCCTATATTTTCTTATATTTTCCTGGGGGTCGACGATGAATTGTGTCTGCGTGTTTTTTCCCTCCTGATATACGAGGAAACCCTCCACACGCATCGGCGCCCGCCCGGGAGCCGGAAAGGCGCGCTCCTGTGAGCAAGGCCCACCGGCCGCCGCGGAGGAGGTGGATGAGGGAGGAGGAGGGGGGAGAAGGATGTGGAGGAGAAGCAAGAGGAGGAGAAGGAGGCAGAGGAGAGCAGGAGGAGGGGGAGCAGAGGGGGGGGGGAGGAGGAGGAGGAGGAGGAGGAGGAGGAGGAGGAGGAGGAGGAGGAGGAGGAGGAGGAGGAAGAGGAGGAGCGGCTGGGAAGGCGACCACAAGATGGCCCAGTCGCCGAGCGACGTCCTGATGTTCTGGAGGGTGCCGTGGTTGAACTTCGACCTGGCGCGCCGTCCGCTGTGGGGTCGCCGCAGTCCTTCCGGCTCCCACCTGACCATTATGTTCCATCCTTCTCCTCCCCATCTCCCATCCTCCTTCTCCTCCTCAACCTCCTCATCATGCTTCCCTCTCCTCCTCCTCCTCCTCCTCCTCCTCCCTCCTCCTCCTCCTCCTCCTCCTCCTCCTCCTCCCCCCTCCCCCTCCTCCACTCCCTCCCCCTCCTCCCACTCCTCCCCCTCTCCCCCTCCCCCTCCTCCTCCCTCCTCCTCCTCCTCCTCCTCCTCCTCCTCCTCTTCCTCCTCCTCCTCCTCCTCCTCCTCCTCCTCCTCCTCCTCCTCCTCCTCCCAACACCACCCCGTCTTCCTCCCCCCGCCTGCGCGCAGACGCGGCGAGGGGAAGGAGGGAAGAGGAGCGGGCGAGAACGGGAACAGGTGGATAAGAAAGTCAGTAGGCAGGGGGGGTGGGATGCTTGTAGATAAGTTGACCAACAAATTGGTGGGAGCACGGACAACGGAAGAGGATGGGGGGCGGGGTGGGGGGTGGGAAGAGCAAGAAAATTCGGGGAGGTTTCGGGGGGGGGGCGTACTCGGGTCTGGGAGCGTGGAAGAGAAGGGGCCAGAATAATAACCAGTTATGTGTGCAAGAAGATATGGCCAATCCGTGTGGCCAGCGGTGCAATCCACGTAGTGCAAGATAGGCGGTGCGGTCACGAGAGCACGTACATAGTACAATCGAGCCGCAGAAATAAGAAACGCAAGATAAAGAACGACGCCCCTTTTTAACCCCAGAAGCGCCCGCGTGCACGAGGAGGGCTAGAGGAACAGCCACATCACGACCTAAGGAGCATCGAACACTTTTCGTGCCCGAAATGTTCCTTAGTTCAGCGTGTTGGCTGTATGCGGGACAGTGTGGTGTAAAGTCGGCCTTGATTAGGAGGTCGATCCTGCCAAATCAAGGGTGCCCTCGTGTCCTGTGCCTCGCGACCCATGCTCCCTACGCTCCTATGGCAATGTGGCCTCTCGCGTGTCCTGTCCGATCAAGTCCGACTGCAAGCCATGTGGTGCATGCAACTTGTTGCAGTCCATGCAGCACAAATTGGGCACTGTGGTGCTGTGCAGTCGGGGCGCCGGCGAGGGTAGGGGGCGCCGACGGGGCCGCCACGGGCGGCGATGGGGCGAAGCCCCTGGCGTGAAAGGGGCCCAGGGACGCACGAATGAACAGGCACAGCCACCAGGATTCCCCACAATTTGGTATGTTTTCTGCGTGTTCGCCTTCCCCTCCACTTCCAAAAGCTTTCCATATTCCTTGGGGATCGACGATATTGAGGGGGCCCCAGGACACACAAATAAATACACACGAATAAAAAGATTCCCCATAATTTCCCATATGTTCTGGGTTTCTGTCTTCCCCCCCACTTCCCATCTTTTCCCATATTTTCTGGGGAATCGAGGATTAATTGTGTCCGTGTCTTTCTTTTCCTCCTGAGATCATTCGTGTCGGAGTGTGTTCCCCCCCCTGGTCAAGCCCAGCCAGTGCACGGGGCGCCCACGGGGCGCCCGCGAGGCGCCCGCGGTGGGCGAAGACACGACCGCGCGGGGAGCCCTCCGAGCTGCTCAGATATGTTCGAGCGGGAGCCTCATCCTGCCATCGCTCGGACGTCCATTTCCCGTGCATTGTTCGGTTTCGTGCGTGTTCTTTGGCGCGATGGTCCAGGATGGTCATCGATGGTTCTCTCCGAGAACAAAAATCACACGTCCGAGCGGTACCAGGTCATAGTGGAAGCACTGTCTGGAAAGCAATACCTTGTGGGCTCTTAAGCTGTGCGCGGTGTGTAAACACTGGTCTAAGTAGTAGGGGGCGTTTGCTAGAACATGGTCATCTGGATTACACTGTGACATACATATGCGTGAATATGCCCACATATTTGTATGTACGTCAAACTATGTATATACATATACATATATATATATATATGTATGAATGTGTCTACTTCTATGAATACACACGTGTATACAGACATATATGTATATACCTAGGTGTATATATATATATATATATGTATGTGTACACACATCTGTCACCTGTAAAACGCCCGACATCTGCGGCCCTTCGCGGCCTGGTCGCGGGGCAGCGCAGACCAAGGCGAGGCAAGCTTGGGGAAGGGGGGGCGTGCCCGATCCCACAAACCGCATCCGAGGCTTCCGGGACGCCTCCCAAGAGCTTCCCATGGGCAGCGCAGCTGTCGTCGTCGTCGTCGCCGCCGTCGTCATCGTCGTCGTCATCGCCATCGTCGTCGTCGTCGTCATCGGCGTCGTCGTCGTCGTCGGCGGCATCTGCGTCGCCTTTTTCTTTGTCGGCGTCGTCGGTGGGGTCGTCGTCGTCCGGTCGCTCCTGGAAGCCTCTGACCTACACTACAACAACGGCATGGCGGCGGGCCGGGGCCAACAGATGTAAAAACGCGCTGCCCCCCCCCCCCCCCCGAAGGAAGAAAAACGCAATGAATATTGACGTTTGGCGTTCCGTGTGGATTGCTTGGATCCGCGCTGAACCCCCCCCCCGAAGGAGGAAAAACGCCATAAGCATTAACTTTTGGCATTCCGTGCGGATTGCTTGCATCCGCGCTGACCTCGGGCGTCTTTACATCTGTTGGCCGAGGGCCAGCAGCTGTAAACACGCCCGAGGTCTGCGGCCCTGCGCGGCCCGGTCGCGAAGGCAGCGCGGGCCGAGAAACGCGGCCGGATCGGGGGGCTGGCCATCGCTCGGACGCCCATTCCCTGTGCTTTTTTCGGTCTCGTGCGTAGCTTTTTCGCCAAAGGATGCTCCTCGATGGTCCTCGCGGAAAGAAAAATGCACACGTCCGAGCGATACCAAGGGGCTGTTGGTGTTCTCCGGGGCGAGAAAAGCACCCACACCTCCAGCCACGAGCCCTGGAGCACGAAGTCGGGGGGTGCTATCCTCAGGCAACAAGCGTGGGGTGAAGAAGCGTGCGCCTTTTCGTGCACCGTTTGGGCCCGCGGTGGCAGCTGATGGGGCCCCCCAATGCCAAGGGGGGGGGGGGCTGCGTGTAGGCGTCGCCGCAGATCAGCTCGCCGAGGGTGGCGTCGTCGCGGCGCTCGCCCTGCGGGCCCCCGCGCTCTCGCGGCCAGCCCGGCGGCCACCAGGAGGAGGAGGATGAGGAGGAGGGGGAGGAGGGGGAGGAAGAGGAGGAGGAGGAGGAGGAGGAGGAGGAGGAGGAGGAGGCGGAGGAGGAGGAGGAACAGGAGAAGGGACAGGAGGCGGAGGAGGAGGGGTCGGAGGAGGAACGGGAGGAGGAAGAGGAGGAGGAGGAGGAGGGGGAGGAGGAGGAGGAGGAGGAGGAGGAGGAGGAGGAGGAGGAGGAGGAGCAGAGAAGAGCAAGTCTAGCTCGAGACGTTGTGGCGTGTCGGTGGCAGCGCGGCGACCAGCCCTCGGGTGGGCATCGGGGGCCCGCGATCGAGAGAGATGCTGAAATACACGTCAGAGGCCGCAGGATTGCGATGGCGATGGCGTTCTCACATGGTTCTCTTTGCCCTCCCCCCTCCACATCGCCTAAACATTACGAAGTGGACAAAGTGAAGGCACTCAACAGGATTGGATTCTCAGCTCGAACCCATCGTACTCACATACCCTTACAAGGGCAACTACCAACTTGCATCGACATGGCCAGCATAAGGAAAAACATGCATATCGAATATGATTCTCAATTTATGTTCAACAACGGTGATGACGATTGGCACGGCACTTCTAATCATTACCAGCATGCTCAACGACCAACAACCCACCACAACAACCACAACGACAAATAGCACGACAACTAACACGGCAACTATTACGACAACCCCCCAACTGCCAACACGACAATTACCATGACAACTGCCACGACAACTACCGCGAGAACCTCCACGGCACCCACCACCACAATTACCATTACAGTTACCACGAACGCAACCGCGTCAACTACTGCCACCACAATAACAATACGACAACCACCGAAACAACCACCACAACAACAACACGACAACCACTGCGACAAATGCCACGACAACGACTACAACAACTACCACTACAACTACCAACACATTTACCGCGACAACCTGAACGACAACCACTACGACAACTACTACGACGGCTACCACGGCATCCGCTACTACAGCAACGCGAACACCACCACGTCAACCACCACGGCAGCAACACGACAGCGACCACGACAGTCACTACGACAGCCACCACGACAACCACCACGTTGGCAACACGACAACCACCGCGACAGACAACACGACAAGTACCACGACAACTACCACTACAGCCACCATTACAGCTGCCGCGACAACAACTGAAGCAGCCACCACGACAACAACCACGACAGCTACTACGACAGCCACCTCGACAACCACCACTACAACAACGCGGCAGCCACCACGACAGCCACCACGGCAGCTCAAACGGGCAGATCAACAGCAAACCAACCAACAATACACCCACCGTGCAACAGACAGCCGACTACAACGCACCAGCCAGCAGACTACGAACTACTGACCGCCAATCTTACCAAGTCTGCCGCCCTTTTTGGCTTGTACCGCCCGCTCTAGGCCATGCTGCTCCATGCATCCATTCACAGGAGGTTACACCTCTCCCGCCACGGGCCGTACACAACTACTGTAAGGAGCAAACACCCCGCGGCAGCCGCCACGACAGAAACAACGAGAACCACCACGATTGCCACCAAGCACCATGACAGCCAATACGGCAACCACCAATAACCACGACAACCACCACGACAGCCACCAAGCACAACGACAACTGCGACAACCACATCGGACCCGCACACCACGGCGGCCACCTCTGCATCCACACCAACACCTTTTACGTGCAACCACGCCACTCCGGCCTCCACGGCGGCCAAGGGAGCTACGACAGCGACAACCACAACAACAACTCCCACGAGGACGCACAACACCGCCGCTAATACGACAGCCGCGTCAGCCACAACACCGAATGTTACGTGCAAGCGCCTCAAGGCGACCACCACGACAACACCACCTACGAGCAAGCACGCCACGGCGGCCACCACGACAGACGGCGACAACGACGACAGCCACAAAAGCTGCGGCAACGACTTTCACGCGCAAACACTCCACGGCGGCCACCCCGACGGCCACGACTAACGCAACCGTGCCTTTTACGTGGACGTGCATCACAGCGGCTACCACGACAGCCAAAACAGCGACGCTCACGAGCAAGCACTTCAAGGCCGCCGCCACGACAGTCACAACAGCACCCTTCACGAGCAAACACACCACGGCAGCCACCACGGCAGCCACGACAACACCTCTTACGAACAAGCACGCCACGATGGCCACCACGTCCTCCACGACAACCAACGCAGCAACTCGCACGTGCAAACGCACAACCGCGGCAACCACGATTACCGCCACAGCGATTTTCACGAGGACGCACGCCACGGCGGCTACCACTGCAGCTGCGGCAGCACTTCTTACAAGCACACACACCACTGCGGTCACCACGACAGCCACAACAGCCACGGCAACGGCGCTGACGCGCAAACGCACCACGGCGGCCACTACGGCAACCACGAATGCCGCACCTGCGACTTTTACGAAGAAGCACAACTAGGTGGCCACACGACATCCACGACAGCCAACGCAACGACGCTCACGAGCAAACTCACCACTAACGACAATCCCGCCACTGAGGCCACCACGACAGCCACCGCAACGGGATTCACGAGCAAACATCACGGCCCACCACGGCAACCACGACTACCGATACAGCGACCCCAACGAGTGCGCACCCCACGGCGGTCACCACGACAGCCACGAAAGTCACGACAATACTCCCTACAAGCAAGCACGCCACGGCGGCCACCACGACATTCACATTAGTCACAACGGCTTTCCTTACAAGCGAGCGCACCCTGGCAGCCACCACGACAACGACGACAGCCACAACAGCGACTCTCACGAGCAAACGCGTCAAGGCGACCACCACGACATCCACAACAACACCCCTCACGAGCAAGCGCATCACGGCGGCCACCACGTCATTCACGAAACACCTCTTGCGAACAATCACGCCACGAACGGCGTCACGACATCCACGACAGCCACCGAAACGACTCTCACGGGCAAGCCCACCACGGCAACCACCGCGACAGCCACGACGACCACCACAGTGACTTTCACGAGGACACACGCCACAGCGGCTACCAGGATAGCCACGACAGCAGCTAACACAAACACCCCTCTCACGAGAAAACACAGGATGGCGGCCACGACGACAACCACGACACAACGTCTTACGAACAATCGCGCCACGGAGGCCACCCCGACAGCCACGACAACTCACGCAAATATTCTCACGAACGAACGCATCACGGAGGACACCACGGCAACAACGTCACGCAAACCACGGCGACGACAGCCACAACAGCCACGGCAGTGACTCGTACGAGCAAACACGCCATGGCGGCCACCACGGCAACCACGATTACCGCAACAACGACATTTACAAAGACGCCGGCTAACACGACAACCGCGGCAGCGACTTGCACGAGTAAGCACACCACGGCGACTAATATCAGCTTGTGGTTAACAAATCCGTGTGGGGCTCGCGTTAACAAAAATAGCTGCCCTGTTCGGGCGAATCGCGGGGTGGCGCCCGCCAAATTAAAAATCAACGGCGGCGGCGCTGGTGATTAGCGCCGACGCCCAGCCGCCAGCGGGAAGACAACATACAACACAAACTGGGAAATGAGGGGGACGGGAAGCAAAGGCGGCAGAAGCAGGGACCGTGAGCCAAGGCGGCGCCTGTTCGAAAATAAGAAGAACTGCTGTCGACGCTCGCCCCCGCACTTTCCGTGCTCTTGTTTGTCGAACCGATGCGTTTCGTTTGACCTGGCCGCAGCCAGAGGGGCGCCAGCTGCCTCGCGGGCACACAAGAAAGGCGGGCTGGACGACAGGGGCGCGTGGCCAAGACGGGATGTGCCCAGCAACTCGCTTTGCTGATTCCCCGATCGCCACTGTGCGCCGAAAGCGGCCATGCATCGAGGACTGGCCCCCTGGCGGGGAGACCGAAACCAGCTGCGCGCAGCAGGTTTCGCACGCCCCCGCTTCCTTCCCCACCCTTTCGTCCGACCCGAGCAAGGCGGACAGTCCTCCTCCCCCCTCTGTCGTGGTCCCTGTAGTCGTCGACGACGAGCATGACGACAACGCTGACGCCGACGCTGACGCCGACGACGAAATTGAGGACGAAGACGAGGACGGGGACGAGGAGGACGAGGACGGGGACGAGGAAGACGAGGACGAGGAAGAGGGCGAGGACGGCGGACGGCGGCGGACGGCAGATGGCGACGGCGGCGACGACGACGACGCACTGCGGATGCCCCATGAGGGGGGGGGGGGCTGCGCAGGCCCGCTGTAGTGGACGACGACGACGACGACCACGACGACCACGAAGACGCCGACGCCGACGCCGACGCCGACGACGACGACCACGACGACACGACGAAGACGACGACGACGACGACAACGACGACGGCGACGACGACGACGGCGGCGGCGACGACGACGAGACGACGCACCGCGGATGCCCTGTGTGTGTGTGCTGCGCACGCCCTGTGTACTTGACGACGACGACGACGACAAAGACGAATGAGAAATAAAAACAAAGAAAATAACAATAATAATCATAATAATAATAGTAATAAAAATACTAATAATAATACTAATAATAATAATACATAAATAAATACATAAATAAAAAATAATTCAAAAAATAATTATAACAATAATAATAATACTAATAATAATAATACTAATAATAACAACAATATTAACAATAATAATAATGGCAATATTATACATTATTGTGTTTGTTTCTCCTTTCTTTTTTTTAAAAAAAAAATCATCATAATCATAGTAATACTGATAATAATCATACGAATAATAATATTACGAATAACAATAATAATAATACGATCAATAATAATACGAATAATAAAAATAATTATAATTTTATTAATAAAACTAATAACAGTAACCATCATAATAAGTACTACTAAACATATTAATAATTAAAAAATAATAACGATGACGACGACGACGACGGCGACGACGACGGCGACGGCGGCAGCGGCGACGACGACGACGACGACGATGCCCGAGAGGCGGAAAAAATCGCCTCGGATGCGTACGACCCCTGTAGCAGTTTCTATACGACGAGCAACCGTTTTGAGACTGTCATGCTAGGGGGTACGCGATCCCCATGGCGGCGCCAGCGACGACCGCCTGGCGCGCGTGATTCAAAGAATGTTTCGCGCCCCGCGGGGTCTATTCGTCAGTCCCCGGGGGGGGTCTGGTCATGTGTTAATCAGCGTCACAAGAACGACTTGTACAAGATAACGCCGCTGACTATGGTAGCACCGCGGATTTCAGCCGCATCACCGGTCTCAGCACATTCGATGGACGCATCACAGACTCAAGCAGCACCACCGACTCTGGCAGAAGCGCCGCCGACCCTAGCAGCACCACCGACTCCAGCAACACCACCGACTCCAGCAGCACAGCCGCTTCTGGCATCAGCGACGCCGACTCCAGCAGCGCCGCCGATTTTAGCAACACCACCGAGCCCAGCAGCAGCACCGACTCAAGCATCACCACCGACGACCCCAACAGCAGCAGCGTCACCGACTCCAGCAGCATCACAGTCTCCAGCAACGCCACCGACCCCAGCAACACAATCGAAAACAACGCCATGGACTCCAGCATCAGCGCTACGGACTCCTGCGCTACAGCCTCCAGCAGCACCACCGACCCTAGCAGCACCACAGACTCCAGCACCACCGTCTCAAGCAGCACGACGGAGCCCATCAGAACCACTGTCTCCAGAATCACCGTTGACTCTCGCAGCAGCGCCGCCTACTCCAGCACTACTGACTCCTGCGACGCCGCAGACCCCAGCAGCGCCACCGACTCTAGCAGCACGACCGACTCTGGCAGCAGCGTCGCCGACTCCAGCAGCACCGCCGACTCCAGCAGCACCATCAGCCCCAGCAGCACCACCGACTCCAACACCAACGATTTTGGCAGCGGCACCGCCGATCCATCACTACCGACCCAAGCAGCACCACCGACCCCAGAAGCACCACCGACGCAGGCAACACCACCGACTCTGGCAGCAGCGGCGCCGACACCAGCAACACCGCTGACTCCGCTGCACCCCCGAACCCAACAACACCACCGACTCCAGCAGCACCATCGACTCCGGCAGACGCGCCGCCGACTCCAGCACCACCAGCTCCAGCAGCATCACCGACCCCAGCAGCACCACTCACCCACGCATCCCTGACTCCGACAACAGCGCCACCGACCCCAGAAGCACCACCGACTCCAGCAGCGGGACCGCCCCAAGCAGCACCACGTACTCCAGCAGCGCCACCGGCTCCGACAGCAGCGCCTCCGACTTCAGCGATACCGACTCAAGCAACGCCACCGACTTCAGCAGCACCACTGACCCAGCAGTGCCGCCAGCTCCGGCGGCAGCATGGCAGACTCCAGCAGCAGCACCGCCGCCACCACCGACTCCTTAAACCCTAACTCCACCGGCGAGGCCGACCCAAGCCGCACAACCTTTCCCAGCAGCCCCGCAGACTTCGGCAGCAGCGCCGCCGACTCCAGCAGCAGAACCGCCGCCGACACCGACTCCAGCACCACGGCCTACAACCACGCCGCCAACGCCAACTCCAACAGCACCGCGATCTCCAGCACAACCGACCCCAGCGGCTCTAGCAGCAGCGCCGCCTTTTCCACCAGCAGGAACGCCACTCCCAGCAGCAGCGACGACCCCGACGGCCACAACTTACCCCAGTAACAACCATGACCGACACCAGCCGCAGCATTGCGAAGCACAGTGCGACGCCTCGGCCGACAACCTTGAGCCTGTGGCAAAGAGGGCGAAGCGTGCGACGAGCAAACGCAGCGCTCAACGGCACTGAAGGCACGCTGGGTGACTGGAGCCCGACCACGGGTCGCTGGACCATCTTGTCTGCAAAACGGAGCCGCAAAACCAAACAAACTCGAACCAAGTAACCCGAACAGGTACACGCTGTTGTCTCTCTTCTTGCAGTCCGCTCTTCACGTTGCCTACAACAAAAAAGAGTATGGACATTGAGGCTCTTATGCGCGCGATCGCCGTTGACGAGCAATGCTTCAATAATTGCTATCCGGCTTTCATCCTCACCTAAGCCAATCATATGGCATGTACTTCCGAATTGCACACCGCTAAAACTTGTGCTGAGACCTGTCTACTCTATCCTTCATCTCTTTTTTGGACGCCCGAAATGGGTACGGAAAGAATGGGTACAATGCTCAACAACAAATGTTGTCCCAAACCAAGAGCGGCCGCTGTTGGGCAGGCGGCCCTCTGTCTCGCCTGGACACAGGCCGCGGCGGCGCGGACAGCGAGTCCTGTCCAAAAGGAACAGGAACTGCTGTTGGGCATTGTGCCCATTCTTTCCGTGCCCATTTCGGGCGTCCAGATCTTTGTAGTTTCCCAAGCGTCCTTCCCCTTGCCCTCCTTGGGCCCACCGTGCCATCCTTTACGGCGGGAGCGGGACGGTACACCATAACTAGGGGGCAAACGAACCTACCTCGCTTTTCACCACCCTCGCTTCCAAAAGATACCAAGCGATGCCTTACTACGGCCTGCACTGGCCAGGCCGCTGGACGAGGAGGCGCGTGGTATGACTTGGTTTTGCCTGGAAGCGAAAGCGGGGTAGGTAACTCACGCTCTGAATAATGAGAGACGCTTCTGTCTTGTGGCTTGGGCGGGAAGGGGTCGGTAAGATGGGTGGCGGGCATGGGGGGGGGCTCTAACGCGAGGCCGGGGCCAACGGAAGGCATCGGCCACGCACTGCCTCAGCTGGGCCGAGTGACTGGGGGAGAAAGGCGGTAGATGGAATGGAGGATCAGGTAGGGCCAGCGCCGTCTGAAGCCACTTGCGGGAGCTTGGTAACCAAGAGTCGCACGCGACGGAGGCCATCACGAGTCGCAGCGAAGTGTGGCCGCGTGTCTGCCAGAAAGCCGTCGAACAGCCGCCTGTGGCTGGTCGTGGCCGGAATTATCGATGCCGTCATGGTTGTCCTTGGTTGGGCCCGACCGAACCCTGAAACTTGCCGGCATGTCGAAAATCCGATCGACTGCCCGACCGAGCGGGCCAACTCGGACTCCACCGCCAGTCGAAGCGTGTCAACAGCGTCCTAGCGCGCTCCCTCCACAGTGCCTTGTCGCGAAGATCACCTAACACAATTTTGCTATCACATCAACCTCATATCTGTTCCTGTTCCCTCGACGTTTCTGCCCTCTCTCCTCTTTCCATTTCTTTGTGCTGTTATCTTACCGTCCGCATTGCACTGTCGGTCAAGACTAGCGGCTGCCGCCCTAGTTTCCGAATCGTGCTGCTTCGAAGGATGAAGGGGAGGTGGGGGGTGGGGATTGGGCCTTGTGAAGAGAAAGAGCTTGGGACGGGAGGATGTACTGCAGCATCCATGATGCATCTTGCGTTTGCTCTGGACCTCCTCCAACTGCTCCCTCCTCCCTCTCCTCCTGAACCTCCTGCTAGGCAACTGCTTAGCATGAGTAGTTTTATCTTCTGCCCCCAGACAAGAAACCGCCTCTCATGCAGGATCCGCGCTTCGTTCTCACCTATTACGTATATTGGCGGCCGGATCCTCTGACAAGGGGCTACCGCGGCTCAGCCACTAAACGATATTGACGGAACGGGGTGGGCACAGCTCATCTGGCTGGCCCCATTCTCTTGAACCCGTCGGTAACTCTTCACTCTCCAGGGGGTCCACGAGACGCCTCTTACCTTTAGTGTTGATCTCTGGCTAACACACCTTACTCAACCTCGCTCCCCTCCTTCCCCCTCCCACGCCTTCCCCTGACACTCCTGCTCCTCATAAGCAATCGTAGACGTTCGACGCTCCGCGCGGATTTCTTGGATCTGCCCTGGACCCCCTCGCCCTGGCGCGCGGAACGCGCCAGGGGCGGCGGCGGAGGGGCCGCTATGGAGGCCCCAGCGCCGATCCAAGAAACCTGCGCGGAGCTACGGAATGTCATGTGCATGCAAATATTTGCCCTTCGGCTTTCGGCGTCCTCCTTTTCCTGCTCATCCTCATGCTGATGCTCAGCCAGCTCCTGCTCAAAAGTAACACAGCCCCCCTCCTCCGATTGCACATCACGTTGTTGTTGTCGCGGCGCCTGCGGCCGCACGGCGCGGTCGAAGCCTACGCCGGGCCGCCGCAGGGCGAGCTGTGTGCATGCGCGGCGGGAGGCCACCGCGCATCACACGACGGGGTCATTTTGGGGCATCCCCGTCTCCGCCAGGACGCCCGTCGGTGGATCGAAAGAAAACCAGCGCAGCGGGAGAGGAGGGGTGGGAGCAGCCGGATGTCAGATGTGGCGCGAGCGCGCCTAGCTTGTTCTTCTCCTCTCCCCCACCCCCTTCTCCCCCTCTCTCCCTATCCCTCCGACCCCTCCCTCCTGGGGGGCAAGAAGGCACCCACGCCGCCGCTCCCCAGATCCCGCCCGGGGCGAGTCCCAACCAGCGCTTCGAGACGCAGCCAGCCGTGGCGACGAGAACTCCCCGAAACGAGCAGCGGCATCGGCAGATATGCCTCCTATGACCCCCCATCCCTGTCCGCGCGCCACCAATAGGTGGCGGCCCAAGTGCCCAGACGACGCCCCTGTGACCGTCCTGCTTCTCGAACAACTCGATGGTGGACAGGCCCTGCGGGCGCGGCACGTGCGTGAACAACCAAACGGTCGCCCGAGCGAGGTCGCCGAGAGGGGGGGGGCGCCGACGCCCAACAGGAAGGGAGAGAGGGATGTGAAATGGAAAACGAGCCAGAAAAATTATAATATCCTTTAGAATTCGCGAGCGCAGCCGTTACCAGCCCCGCCCCCCGCCCTCCCCCCCTGGTAACGTCACGACTTGCATCAACACCGTCTGGGAACTAGCCATTCCGAAGCACGCCCAGACGGCGCCAGCGCGAGTCGCGACGTTACCAGCTGCGCACCCTGGTCACGCCCTTTTATCTCCAGTGGATGCAAAATGGTCTGCAGTCGGAACCGAAACATGTTTCCCCAGGCGGAGACGCCCAGAGCAGAAGCGCGGCGCGGGGCAGCGCGCGCCCACAATCGCTCGAGGCACCAAATTCGGCCGCACTGCGGGGGGCTACGGCGAGGCGGCCTGGCTGAGCCTAGCCAGGACGCGGGCCCGCAGGGCAGCCGGCCTCTCGGATGCAGGCGGCGCCGAGGAAGGCCGCAAAGCCGCCGCCCGCGCCTCGCAGACTGCCAGTGCGGCCGCCGCGTCGGCAGCAGCCCGAGCCGCCGTCGACGCAACGCGCGACGCGGCGGCATGCGCCCTGCACCGGGCCCCGCGTGCCAGCGGGCGCGGGCCCTCCCTCGAGCGCAGGCCAGGGGGCGGCAAAGGGCGGCGCCGCCGGCACCGCTACCGCCACCGGCGCCGCTGGCGGCACACGCGGCGCTCGGGCGCGAGCGCGGGCTGGCGCCCTCGGCCGGCGCGCGGCCGCGGCGTCGCGTTCGAGCACTCGCCGTGGGAGGCCGTCTGGCCCGACCTCGACCCGCTCGTGGTGGTTCGCCGTGCAGGTAACGACTCCGAGGACTGCGGCCTCGCGCGCCACCATGGGTTGCAACGCGCGCCAGCGGGCAGCCAACCGCCGCCTTGGCCACGGCATCGGCCAACCGGCTGGCCCCCAAGTCCACCGCCGTGACCGCGATGTCATCAGACCGCGAAGCCGTGCCGATCACGGTGGCCGTGCCGTGAGCTGGCATCCACGTGAGCGTGCCCGAAGTCACCAACCTGGACACGTCGTCATCGAGAACAATGGAAATTCGCGACCAAACCTGGGCCAGCATCCTCGAAGGCCTGATGGCATGCGCCGTGCCCGCTGCGGCCGCTGTCAGGATCGAGCGGCAATCTGCGCGGATGGAGGGCGGCGCGATGGCGATGGACAGCACCAGGAGGACGGCCCATAGCTCGGCAGCTGTAGCAGCGCGGATCCACGGCGGAGGCACAGCACTGCCATGCGCAGCCAGGTCCCCGTCGGCCGACACGACGACGATGGCACAGCCAGTGCGCCGTATTTCCCACCGCGGCCCGTATTTCATGGACCCGTCCGTGTACCAGCAGAAGTCTGTGCGGCTCTCGTCTGGCGGGGCAGGAAGCCGCTGGACGGCAACCTCCACTTGCGGCCCTGGCCTCGGCACTCGGAGCACAAGCACGCCTCGAATCCGAAGGTCTAGACGGGCCTCGGGGAGCGACGAGGCAAGGCTGCCGCACTCCTCAGGTGGGTTGGGCCACCCGTCGGGGGGCCGCGAGGCCGCGCGCGCGCGGCGGCAGCGTGCCGTGGGCAGCACCGCAGAGCTGGCATCGTCGATCAACAAAGCCGTCGGCGTGCGGCAGCTTCGCGACGCGGACCTGCGGCCACTGCCCGCCCGTTGCTGCGGAGAGGAGCTGCGAGCGACGACGCCCCGTCCACGGCGGCGCCGTGTTGCGAGGATTCCCGCGTCCTTCCAGGAGCAGCCCAATCGGGCGGTCCACGAGCACAGTGAGCATCTCGGTCTGCTCTGAGTCGCCAGCGTCGGGATCCCCAGCGACGAGAGCAGGGGGCTGACTACCTACCAGACCACCCCAACCCAACCCGAAGACCCGAATTTCGGGTTGGGGGGGGTAAGGGGTCCACATGTGTTTTTTCGACGTTTCCCGACCCCCCCCCACTGGAAATCGAGGGTAAATTTAGGCCTTCGGGTTGGGTTGGGGTGGTTTGGTGGGTGGTGAGGGGCGTGGCAGCCAGCCTCCGCATGCGCCATCGGTCCACTGATCCGCGAACAGCAGCGGCGACCATCGCAGGGGACATAAGGATGCAGTCCACGGGCTCGCCATTGTCGTCGTAAAAACACCTGGGAGACTCGCGGGACCAACCGAGGCACCAGGCAGTGGCGATAACGCCGGCCACGGGACCTGTGACAGCAGACCACGGCGACCGGCCCTGAGCCACCACGCCCTGCAAGCGGCGCCGCGCGAGGCCGAAGACGCGCTCGAGCTCCGAGGAGGGCGCCCAGTCCTGCCAGTACGCCAGACCCCAATGTCGTAACGGCGTCGCGTGCGCCGCGTACGCGGGGTCCAAAACAGAGCCTCCAGAGTCCAGCACCGCGTAGCCCACGTCGACGTTGCAATGGGCCCCCGGTGGCAGGGCCGCACTTAGGGCAGCAACCCTCACGCGGTGCAAGTGCGTGTTGGACGCTCCGACGATGTCGACGCCGTAGACCATGCTTGGGCATGCCATGGCCCCCACAAAGCAGGTCACATCAATCCGCTGGCGGCGAAGAACGTGCATCCGTAGTATCCGCTGCTGGAAGGCTTTGAGGCGGGCCATGAGCACCCCGACGGACCTCCGCCAACCTCCAGAGAAGGGCGTGCCAAGTAGCTTCACGCTGCGCTTCGGGGCCAATATCTGGCGCCGCATGCTGCGCGACAGCCGGACTGCAAGCCTCGGCGTCGAAGCTGCTGCGAAGGACTTGGTCGGCGACGCGGTGAGCTTCAGGCACGTCTCGAACATGTCCACGCAGAAGTCCGTGCTGCGAGGGACAGCGTCCACGGCATCCGGCGAAGAGCCAGAGGCAGTAACGGTGAGGTCATCCACGTACAGGTACAGACGAAGCATTGGCCAACGTATCGAAGCGATGAGCATGGACTCGTGGAGCAGCAGTTGGAGTTCCATAGCGGCGAGGCTGGACCGACTGCGACGCCGCGGGTGGCTATGAGCAGAACCGAAAACGCGCCCTCGACGCCGTTGGCTCGCGCGAGCCGGTGCGCCGCGAGTGACAGGCGCAGAACAGCAAGGTTGAAGTCCCAGCGCGCCGCAGCAGCCGCGATGAGGTAGCGCGGAATCCGCTCAATCGCCTTGACCAGATCAACCAGGAAAGCAACGTGCTGCTGCAAAGACACCGCGGCGGCCTCGGCAGCGAAAGACGCTGCCCCAGCGGCGCGCTGGGATCCGCGACCAGCACTGCCGAACACTGCTGGAAGGGTGCGCGCCGCCTCCCAGGCGAGCGCCACCGTGGCCCGGGCGCGCATCCAGACGCGGACCAGGGTGGGGAAGAGCCCGATAGGGCGCAGGCCTCCGTCCGGCTTTGGCAGCAGGACGATGAAAAACAGGTTGCACGCGTCCGACCAGCGCCCCAGCCGTTCAGCAGCGAGCAAGATCTGGATTAGCATGAGGCACGCCGCCTCCAGGAGCCTCAGGATGGCCCTCGGAGCCACGCTGTCGGCTCCAAGGGGCGTGCATATGGGGAACGACACCACGGCCAGGTCCAGGCCCCATAGGGCGATGGGCTCCGGGGCTGGCAGTAGGTGCTGAGGGAATGCTGGCTTACGGTAAGCCCCCTCAACTACCCGATTGGCGGCCCAGCCTGCGGCTTCGCGATCTAGGGCGGCCTGCTCGGAGAGCGGAGCCACGGCGGCCCGTCCGCGAGCGTCGATGCGCGCCTCGACCCTCTCGCGCGCGCGCCGCCGCCCAGATCATCAGCATCGGGGATCGCGTCTTCTAGGCAGCAGTCGCCGACAGGGGATCGGGGCCAACCGCCGAGACCGCGAAAGTACCGGAAGGCTAGCCCCCGGGGCGGGCGCGTCGCGCTGCGGGGCGGGGCAGTACCGCCCGGGGCAGCGAGAGGAGCGCGGTGGTCGACCATGCGGGCGCGCGCCACGGACTCCTCGATCTTGCTGGCACGCCTAGCAGCCGAAGCGGCCAGCGAGCGCAGCGCATGGTGCCCCTGCGAGAGCTGCGCGCGACGGAATGCAGCAGCCCAGGCCTGCGCGGTGTCGCGCGTCTCGCCCGGGGTCGAGGCGACCCGTTGCAGCGCGCAAATCTTCGACCAATGCCGCGCGAGCACCAGACTATCGGCAGCCTCTGGCACTAACCGCGCGACGATCGCAGCGGCGTCGAATTCTCGCGCCGAGCGCCCCCGCCACGCGACCGACGCGCCCGTAGGCTGCCGAACAGGCTGCCCAGCAGCAGGCCCCCATCGGAAGCGCGGCCGAAACCGCGGCGAGGGCGCGGCGGTCAGCGAAGTGAACATGGACCGAGCAGTGCGGTGCCATCGATCGATGGCGGCTCCGAGCTGCCCCGCGTCACGCATGGCGCCAGCCTCCCAGGCGCCCAGCTCGGGGCGCGGCAGCGGGCCAGCAGGCAGCGCGCCGTCGACGCGACCAAGGCGAACCAGGCGGCGAACAGCCATGCGCCGCGCATCGCCAGCCAGGTAGAGCCGGACAGGGAGATGCGGGGTGAAACCGCCATGGCCGCTCCGACTGGCACCCGACACGGCATGAGTTAGAGTATGGCTAACAACGAACCAATCATATGTGGAACCATCGCACGTCGGATGCTGCGGGCAAAAAATGCAGCCCCGCACGACGTCCAGCCAGCCAGTATCAGTGAGCATACGCGGCGTGATGTTCCAATCGCCAGCGATGACCAATGGCCCGGATAAGATTCCTATGAAGGGGCCCCAGGACACACAAATAAATGCACACAAATAAACCGATTCCCACTATTTTCAAATATTTGCGGGGTTTCCGTCTTCCCCCCCCACTTCCCATAGTATCCCATATTTTCCTCGGACTCGACGATTAATTGTGTCTGTGTGCGTTCTCTTCCTGATCCTAGCAACGCAGCAGCCTCAGCAAGAATGCCAAGGTTAGCCTCCGATGTGCCCTGGCTGTGGAAGAGCAAGGCGCTGCAACAGCGCGGGCCGCCCTTGAAGACCGCGCCGACCCAGGCGGCCTGTAGTCGATGCCCCATGCCATCAGCAACCAAGCCTGCGCGCGGATGCAATCCGAACCGACGCTGGCAGAGAACACCGGCACCGCCAGAAGCGCGATCTAATGCAATGGCGTGAGCCAGGCCGAGGTGCAAGCGGAGCCCAGCATGCTTGGCTGGCCGGGCCGCCGACTCAGGCCGGAGATCGGAATGGATCCTGCGCCCCTGCCACAAGACCACATCAACAGACTTCCGGGCGACAATCTGGATGTGGGAGGTGGCCCTGGAGTTCGCGTTGGCCGCGTCGATGGCCCAGGCACCAATGGAACGAAGCTGGGCGTCTTGAGTGTCAACTTGTCCCGAAGGGTGCGGCCGAGCAGTGCCAGCCAAGGCCGCGTGCCGGCGCGGGCGAGCGCGCCTGCCGCCCGGGGCGCGGCGTCGCCGAGCCCGACGAAAGCGGCCACCAGCAGCCGCGGGCTGCCAGTCCAGCAACGCTGCCAGCGAGAGCACGGGCACCGCGGCAGCAGCCCGCCCACTCACAGCAGCGTCAGCAGCGTCAGCGAGCGGCGGCGCAGCGGCCTGAGGGGCGCCACCGCGATCACGATGACCACGATGGAAACCACCGCAACCGCAAGTTCACAAAAAGATTCCAGGACGGGCGCAATCCCAAATTTACATGGCAGCGTTTCGCACTTGCACTCACGGTTCACTCTGCACTGCGCGCAGCGCATGCAATTACACGCGCCTTCGCCTTGCAAACATCACCCCAGGAACCATCTTAATAACACCAAAGGTGACCTGTGGGACCTGCGGGACCTGTGGAACCTGCCGGAATTGGGAGAAATGTTGGGAGCGTGAGCCCTGTGGAACTTGTGGGAGCTGTGCGGGCTGCGGTAGCTGTGGGACCTGAGGGACCTGCGAGACCTGTGGGACCCTTGGGACCTGTGGGACGCGTGGGCCTGGTGGGACCTGTGGGGCCTTCGAAATTGCAAAACTTGTCGTCCCTGCGAGACCTGTGGGACCTGTGGGACCTGCGGGGCTTGCGCCACCTGCGACACCTGCCTGACCTGTCGGACCTGTAGGACCTGAGGGACTCGTAGGACCTGTGGGACCTGCAGGACCTGCGATACCAGTGGGACCTGTGGCGCCTGTGGCACCTGTAGGCCCCGTGGGACCTGCGGAACTTGCGGGGCCTGCGGGACCGGCGCGACATGTGGGACCTGTGGGACCTGTGGGACCGGAGGGGCTGGGTGGACCTGTGGGGCCTGTGGGACCTGTAGGGCCTGAGGGGCCTGTGGGGCATGCGTCGCCTGTGGGACGTGTGGGACATGCGGGACCTGCGCGACCTGCGAAACCTGTGGGACCTGCGGGTCCTGCGGAACCTGCGGGACCTGCGGACCCCGTGGCCCTTGTAGGACCTGTAAGCCCTATCGGGCCTGTGGGACCTGTGGGGCCTTCGGGGCATGTGGGACCTGGGGGGACTGGGACTTGCGGGGCCTGCGGGACTTGCCAGACCTACGAGGCCTGCGGGGCTTGCGGGACTTGTAGGACCTGTGGGACATGTGGGGCATGTGGGACTTGTGGGACATGTGGGATATGCTGGGCCTGCGGGATTTGTGGGACCTGCGCGACCTGCGGGACTTGTGGGACTCGTGGGACCTGTGCTGGCGGCGGGACCTGTCGGACCTGCGGGACCTGTGGGACCCGGGGGGCCTGTGGGACCTGTGGGACCTGAGGGACCTGGGAGACCTGCGGAACCTGTGGGACCTGTGAGAGCTGCGGGACCTGCGGGACATGTGCGACCGGTGGACCTGCGAGAACCTGTGAAACCTGTGGGGTCATTCATACCTGTGGGACCTGTGGCACCTGCGGACCTGCGGGACCTGCGGGTCCTGTGGGACCTGTTGGACCTATGGGTCCTCTGGGACCTACGGGGCCTGTGGGAATTGCGGGACATGCGGGACCTGCGAGACCTTTAAACCTGTAAGACCCGTGGGGCCTGCGGAACCTGTGGGACGTGCGGGACCTGCATGTGGGACCTGTGGGGCCTGCGGGGCCTATGGAGTATGCGGGACTGGCGGGTCCTGCGCGACCTGCGAGACCTGTGGGAAATACGGACCCTGTGGATCCTGTGGGGCCTGCGGGACCTGTGGGGCTTGTGGGACCTGTAGGACCTGTGGGCCCTGTGGGACCCAGTGGGACCTGCGGGACCTGCAGGGCCTGCGGGGCCTGCAGGACCTGCGAGACCTGCGCGACACGCGGGACCTGCGGAACCTGCGGAACCTATGGGACATGTGAAACATGTGGGACCTGTGGGGCCTGTGGGGCCTGTGGGGCCCGCGAGGCCTGTGGGACCCTTGGGACCTGTGGGACGTGTGGGACCTGTAGGACCTGCGAGACCTGTGGGACCTTTGGCACCTTCTTTGCGACTTGTGGGTCCTGTGGGACCTGTAAGACCTGTAGGACCTGTGGGACCTGTGGGACCTGCGGGACCTGTGACACCTGCAAGACCTTGGGACCGGTGGGATCTGTTGGGCCTGAGGGACCTGTGGGACCTGTGGGACCTGCGGGACCTGCGGGACCTCCGGGACCTGTGGCACCTGTGGCACCTGTGCGGCCTGTGGGACCTGCGGGACCTGCGGGACCTGCGGGACCGGCGAGACCTTCGAGACCTGCGGGACCCGTGGGACCTATGGGACCTGTGGGACATCTGGGACACGTGGGACCTGTGGAACCTGTGGGACCTGTGACCGCCGAGGACCCAAGTAAGGCCCTGAATTCTGGGACCGCCAGGCACCCAAGTAAGGACCTTACTTGGGACCCTGGGAATTCCTTATTAAATTTTGTGGATCGACAGATGTCTCGCACTTTGGGACCATCGAGGCCCCCCGGGGGGCATTTATTAAGGAACCAGAAGTTTCCTTACATCCACCATGCTTTCTTGGAGCGGAAAGACCCAAAGTTCAAACGTCCCGGCGTGGCCGTCGGAGGCCCCCAACCAGCCACCCAGCTTGGAAACGCGCGGCAAATGTTTCGCCGAGGCTGAACGCGACTCTGCTGCCGTCGCCACCGTAGCTGCACTGCATCCGGTGATCCACTGGCCTCAGGGCCCCGAAAAGTAAAGCTCCTAGCGGTGTCCTGACAACCTCCTGGAATCTGGGGGGAGACCGCCGGGGGACCTCCCCTGGCCCTCTTGGGGGCCTCCCGCAAACTTCCGGAAGGGGGCTGGGAGGTCTCCCAGAAACTTTTTCTGGTCCTTGCAAGCCTGCTGGGAATCCTCCCCGAGGACCAGGGTCCGGGAGCCCCCCCCAGACCTCGAAATCTGGCAGGGCTCCCTCCAAGGGGAAACTTCCGGGGAGACCAGGGGAGGCCCCCTGGAAACCTCCCCTGGTCCTCCCGGGCCGCTGGGGGGAAACTTGGTGGAGGACCAGGTGAGGTCTCCTGGAAGCTTCCCCTGGTCCTCCCGAAAGCCTCCCACAGGAGACCTCCCCCCTGCGGAAACTCTCATCGGAGGCTTTCAGGTGAACCAGGGGAAGCCTCCCAGAGACCTCCCCTGGTCGTCCCGGAAGCCTGGGGGAGGCCTCGCCTGGTGCTCCCAGGGGCCGTGGGAAGCCTCTCGCCACACCTTGTGGAAACCAAGGGAAGCCTCCGGAAGGCCTCCCCAAGCCCTCGGGGGGATCAGGGGGAGGTCTCCAGGAGAACCAGAGGAAGTCTGGTGGAGGCCCCCTCCACCTCGCCGGAGGAGGGCCCGCTGGGAGGTCTGGTCGACGTGGAAGGGGGGCATCCCACCAGACCTGTTGGAGGTGGAAGGGAGGTCTGGTATCCAGACCTAGTGGGGTTGGGGGTAACTGAAGACCCAACCCAGGCAAAGCAAGAAAACCAGCATGGAGGCGAACGCGGCCCAAGACGCACCAAGATACCCCCCAGGCAACTCACGACGGCCCAAGAGGGCCCCTAATGTCCCAGGTAGCCCCATATACGACTCAAGAGTGTCCCAGGAGGCCCCCATGCCAACCCGACAGTAACCCATGACAGACCACATGTTGTCCATGTGTGCCACGTGAGAACCCCAGGAGACGCAATAATGAGACAAGGAGAACGAAATGGAAGAAGGGAGGGTGACAACATGGGGGACGTGGGAAGGGGGAGGGCGACGACGTAGACGAAGGAGTGCGCCCCGAAGCGGCGCGGAAGAGCGCGTCACATGTTGCGGCCCTTGCAAGGCTATGGGCGACGACATGTCGCGCGTTATGGCTTTCGTGGCGGTGCTCGAAGACTCGCCACGCCGAGTGCTGCGCGGTCGCGGTGCGCGGGACTTGCCGCGAACAGATCGGCATGACGCACGCGCCGTGGTTTCTACCACAACCGCGCGACGCGTATGATTTGTCAACAATGTCGCGCCCT